AATTTCTGAACATTAGCGGTCGTGATGGTGGCAAGCGGCTCGGCTTCGATCCATTTGGTAAAATAGTCAACAGCTACTACCAGAAATTTGCATTGCCCTTTGGTGAGTGGGAACGGGCCGAGAATGTCGATACCCCATAGAGCAAACAGCCAAGGGGCACAAACCGTGTGCAGCTGCTCGGGTGAGGCATGTATCAGGTTACCGTGTTGTTGACATTGTTTGCATTTCTTCACATACTCTGCACAATCGGTTTTCAGGGTCAGCCAATAATAGCCGGCCCTCAACACTTTGGTAGCCAATGTCCTTCCACCAGAGTGAGATCCGCAGATCCTCTCGTGAACTTCTCGCATGATGTAATCGGCTTGTTGTTCGTCGATGCACTTCAACAAGGGTGTGGAAAATTCTCGTCGGTATAATTCTCTGGCAACTACGGAGTATCGTGCCGCTTGAGTTCGGATCTTCTTGAGTTGACTTGAATCGGCGAGTTCCGTGCCATTAACGATGAAGTTCACAATGTCGGTCATCCACGAACTCGTGAGTTCCTCGATCGGCATGCATTCTTGTGGGATACTTGGTGTGGGTAATTCCAAGTGGATGGTTGTCCGAAGCTGTCCCAATTTTCGACTACTAGCTAGCCGAGCGAGCTGGTCGGCTCTTTCGTTGTTGCAACGCGATGTGTGTCGGACTTGTACGTCGTTAAACTGATTACTCATCCCTTTAAAGAGGTGGTAATACTTCAGCAGTTTGTGTCTTTGACTTGAAAGTTATCGTTCACCTGTTCGGTAACTACTTTTGAGTCGGTCCAGCACACGATTGTCGTGGCTCCCATCTCGGCGGCTAGTCTCATGCCTGCAAGCAAAGCTTCATACTCTGCTTGATTATTTGATGTTCGGAAGCCGAAGCGTAGTGATTGTTCGAGGCTGAGACCAGATGGGCCTTGCAAAATTATGCCGGCACCGCTTCCTTATCGATTGGAAGATCCATTGACGTGCATGGTCCAAGTATTATCTTCAAAGTGGCCGGGTGGAGATAGCTCGTTGACGAAGTCGGCCAAGTGTTACGATTTGATAGGGCCTCGCGGTTTAAATCGAACGTCAAACTCGGACAACTCTATTGACCAAGCCATCATTTGGCCCGCGATCTCAGGCTTTCTGAACACTTTGGCTATCGGGCAATCTGTTCGGACTACCACCTTGTGACTTTGAAAGTATTGTCGAAGTCGTCGCGTCATGTAAATCAGTGCTAGAGCTACTTTTTCTAGGAGTTGGTATCGGCGCTCGGTGTCTTGCAGGACTCGGTTGACAAAGTATATAGGTTGCTAGTGGCCGTCCGTTTCTTGGATCATGATGGCACTAATGGCGTCGTTGGAAACTGCCAAGTATATGATCAGGTCTGATCCGAGTATCGGTTTAGAAAGAACTGGGGGGTTCCGAGTTGTCCTTTGAACTGCTGGAATGAGGCTTCACATTCATCCGTCCACTTGAATCGGTCGGATTTCTTTAATAGGCTGAGGATTGGTTTAGCTGTTTCGGCCATGCATGGGAGAAAACGGGACAAGGATGTCAGCCGGCCGGACAGTCTTTGAACTTCTTTGATGTTTGTTGGGCTTCTCATGTCTAGGATGGTGTGGCATTTGTCAGGGTTTACCTTAATGCCACGACTGGAGAGCATAAAGCCTAGGAACTTTCCTCCGGATACGCCAAACACACACTTGTCGGGATTGAGACGCATTCGGTGTTCTCGTAGTGCTTGAAATACTTCGGCCAGGTCGGCCGCGTGACCGACAAGGTTAGGTGATTTGACCACCATGTCATTGACGTACACTTCCAAATTCTTTCCTATTTGCTTGTGGAAGATTTTGTCCATGAGTCTCTGATAGGTAGTCCCGGCGTTCTTCAAGCCGAACAGCATAACCTGATAGTAGTAGTTGGCCGATTCGGTGATGAATGTTGTCTTCTCTTCGTCCTGGGGATGCATTCGGATCTGATTGTATCCGGAATATGCATCAAGAAAAGTTAGGAACTGGTGGCCGGCCGCGCCGTCAACTAATCGGTCAATGTTTGGCAGTGGGTAAGCGTCTTTGGGACATGCCTTGTTCAAATCGGTATAGTCGGTGCACATTCTACACTTACCATTCGGCTTCTTAACCATGACAACATTGGCCAACCATGTTGTGTATTGTACTTCTCGGATAAAGCCTGCATCCATAAGCTTGGAAACCTCTCCCTCAATTGCCTTCTTCCTTTCTTCCCCCATTTTTCTCTTTCGTTGGGCAACCGGCTTCGCCTCTCGGTAAACTGAGAGTTTGTGGCATAAAAATTTGGGGTCGATCCCCGGCATACTGGCCGACCGCCGTGCAAAGATGTCTTTATTTTTCTAGACGACTTGTTGTATCTGTTGTTTGGCTTGTTCAAATAGGTTGGATCCAAGATAAGTTACATGAGAATCGGTTGGACCGATGACGAACGGTTGTCTGTCTTCGATCGGCTCAACCCTTTCATCTTGCTCCATGCGAGGGTCGACGTCCATGATTGGGGGATCGAGTTCTCGGGCTACCGTATGTACACGCTTGAGCTTTCGTGGTTTTGTTTCTTCAAGGCGGGGTAAGCGAAGACTAGCAAAATAACATTCCCTTACCGCCTTCTGGTCGGCGTGAACAGTGATTATTCGTCACGATTCAGATGGGAACTTCATCGCCAAGTGTGGAGTTGACACAATTGCACCTAGTTTGTTCAGGGACGGCCTTCCAAGGAGAATATTGTACGACGTGTTGGCATGTACAACCACGTATTTGACCGAGATGCTTCTAGTTTCGGCTCCATCGAAACAGAAGCGTGTGGATAACTTGATGTACCATTTCGTTTGCACGCGCTCACCATAGAATCCAACCAAGGGTTCGTTGTATGGGATCAATTCGGCCTCCGGAATGCCGCGCTGTTTGAATGTGTTCCAATAGAGGATATCGGCTGAGCTTCCCTGATCGACCAGCATTTTCCGAACAATGCAGTTGTGGATTTCGACACTAATGACCATAGGATCGTCTTGATCTGGATTGATGCCTTTAAAGTCTACTTCGGTGAACGTGATGGCCGGTAAACTTCGTCGAGTATGTTCGACTGCATGTACAGTTCGGACGGCCCGCAGGTGTCTTTTTTGGGCTGAAGAGGTGGAACCTCCGCCTGCGAATCCACCAGAAATGGTGTTGATGACCCTTTGGGTTTGGGTTGTCGGCTCATCCTCCTTTCGGCCCCTAGATCAGATACGTTCTCTATAGGGTCGCCTGTCAGACCCTTTTCGGTCAGGCTGATCTCGGCGGTGTCAGCGGTCGTCGTATCGGGGAGAACGAGGCCGATCGACGAAGCGTTGGAGCTGCCCTTGTTTGATCAAGTCCTCAATTTTATCTTTCAAAGCTGCGCACTCCTCGGTCGAGTGGCCCCTGTTTCGGTGATACTTGCAGGACTTTGTTGTGTCGGCGCGTGGAGGAGTCGAGGCTCGCTTCGGCACTGTCAGGACCTCTGACGCAAGTGCCTGGTCCAAGACAGCCAATCGGCTAGTATTCAACGGAGTGTAATGAGCATATCTCGGTCCACGAGCAGGTTTTTATCGGGGGACGAGATTCTTGGGGCGGCTGCGGTAAGAGCTCTCGACCGACTTCTCTATCTTGGTCGTTACCTGATGGAACTACTTGGAGAAGAAAGTTGATTCTTCAAGTTTTGGAAGCCTCTCCACCTCGATTGTTATGATGGCACGACGGACCCCGACGAGCACATCGACGTATATACGACACAGGTAAACCTCTACACTAACAATGATGCTATATTGTGTAGGGTTTTTTCAACCTCGCTCAAAGGGGCCGCGCTCAACTGGTACACCCAGCTAC